CACTGAGGATCTGAGTGTGCTGTAGATCCCGTGTGCAGTTAGACAGAGACAGAGAGCACCAACCCTACAGGTGTGCTCTGACCTCCACAGACACAGACACAGAAGACACTGATACAAATACAATCAAAATAGTAATAAAATTTTAAAAATTCATTTGTTTACTATATGTTTAAATTCAAGGAAGACTTTAAGATAGCGCCTTGATTTATGTATGATCAATGTTGTATTAAATTGAAATAGCATTTCTAGTATATAAATAATAGTAGAGTCTCCTGCATGGTGCTTTCTATGTTATCTCCCTCTTACAGCCAGATTGCTTGGGCACCATATCTGCATGCAGCAAGATTCAAACCAACACTAAGTCTCTCAGTCTCCTGTCCTCACCACTTAGATAAACTCAATCCAGTTTAATATTAATACTTCTGAATATTTGGAATTATTTATACTGCTTATAAGTCAATTATTAAAAGAGGTAATGTAAACCTGACCTAAAGTTGCCATTTCCGAGGTGCGTGGTGCTCGGGTCTCCTGCAGGGGCTGAGAGAACTGGTGTCACTTGCTTTTCTTTTTTCTGTAAATGGATTTCCACATGGCTTTGCATGGTGATTTAACATCAAATCGCTGTAGATATTAATGTCTGTATTTACACTTGTATACACTTATGGAACAAATTGTCTTTCGCTTTAAGGATGCCTAATTTGATTCTTTTTTAGAAGTAAAATCCATGTGAAGAAATGTAGCTAAAAATATTTTTATTTTCCCAGGTACTATGTTAAGTAGAAGAATATGTTGAATATGTACATTTTGCTTAGGTAACCTGTATCTGAAAGTAGTATTTAGATTTTCCCTAACATTTTACCTTTACTATCATGTTAATATCTGTTTTATAGATTCAAGTTTTCTTTCAGTCTGGGAAAATGTTTTCAGTTTTTGAAAGAAGAAAACATTAATTTTGAGACTACTCGATCATACCCTTCAGTAAGAGAATGGGGCTGTCTGGAAACTGCAACCTCATTATATTACACACAGTCCTCATCTCACAGAACTCCAGGAGAAGATGTTCTGAGTGCAGTGTCTGTGAATGTGACCGCACTCAGTCTCCTGTCAAGGCCGTGCTGGGCGGTGGTGGTGCACGCCTTTAACCTTAGCACTCAGGAGGCTGAGGCCAGCCTGGTCTACAGAGCGAGTTCCAGGACAGCTAAGACTGTTAAACAGTGAAACCTTGTCTCGAAAAAAGAAAAAGTAAACTGTTAGGAAATATAAAATATAGACATATCCCTGCCGGTGCCCTTTGCACCTCACAATCAGTATATCCTTTATGCTGATTGACTCGGGAAATATGAAAACCAATATGCAGGGTGTGTCCGTGAGACAAGATGGGATTGTAGTTATCAAAGCAACATCGTTTTTTAGCTGAGTTGGCAAATTTAGTAGATGAGAAAAGGAAATACTATTAAAAAGCTATGTAAATGCAGTTGCTGCCAAATAAATAACGCATTTCTATTATAACTGAAAAGGTTTGGCCTGTAGGCCTAAATAACTTGGTATGGTTCTGGGGATTCCTGTTGTACAAGCAAGAAATGAATTTTGTTTTAAAACATGTAGATACAGTGACTTCAAGTGGATAGCAGTATGTTTTTACAGTGCTGTATTTTAGTTTTCTGTGTCTAGATGCTGACAGTTCACTAGTTCACGTTTGCGGGTAGTTTCCCAAGATCAGGACATATAAAGATGAAGACGAGCGTGTTAATTCTGTGTGGAGGTCTGTGACCCGAAGGTCGTTACAAACGTAGTGACGTTGACGAGAGCAGGTCAGTGCTCTGTGCCCATCCGGCCGTTGTTGAGTCTGTCTGCTTTCTTTTAGATGCTGAGGCTCTCAATGGCGGCGAGGACTCTGTAAACGTGAATGATGCAGACGAGGGATTCTCATCAGGGGCTTCGCTCAGCAGCCAGCCACATGGGACCAAAGCGACGTCCTCGTCTCAGAGGGGAGGAAGCTTACGGAAAGTAGCCGCGGGGCGATCCGCCAAAGATAAGGAAACCGCGGCTGCCGTCAAATCCAGTGAGAGCCCTCGCGATTCCGTAGTTCGCAGGCAGTTTGTACAGCCAGCCGATCTTAGTTTAGATTCAGTGGAGCTGACGCCAATGAAGAAACACCTGAGCCTGCCTGCCGGCCAGGTGGTGCCAAAAACCAATAGCTTAAGTCTAATTCGGACAGCCAGCGCTTCCTCGAGTAAATCGTTTGACTATGTAAACGGCAGTCAAGCCGGTACCAGCGTCGGGGTCGGCACTGAGGGGGTGACTAACCTAGCAGCCACAAATGCCAATCGATACTCAGCCATCAGCCTCCAGGAAGACCGGCTAGGGCATGCTGGTGAAGGCAAAGAGCTCCTCAGCCCAGGAGCCCCCCTAACAAAGCAGTCCCGATCCCCGAGTTTCAATATGCAGCTAATATCCCAGGTGTAGTTCTGATGACCCCCCATTCCGCTTCCCTTTTAAACTGAACATTTCATTATGCAAGACCCTTCATCCCACATTGTGAAGAAATGTCCTTGTACTCAGATCTGATTTAGCGTAGGTATCTTCATACTGTGTTTTGTATGGAAACAGCAATAAGGTTTTCTCTCCCCTTTCATTTTTCTCCACCTATTCCTTGTAAATGTGTTTGTGAAGCTGTGTAAAATGTTTGCCTTTTCCACGCCTTCCTTTCTCCTTGGGTAACGTGCAATCTGTCGTAGGCTGATCGGGACTGAGGAGGTGATAGAGGAAATGGTGTATGATCCCTATGAAGTGATCCTTGGGCTTTTGTTTTAAAACAAAACGGGTTTGTTCACATAATCTATGGAACTATGAAGATAACTGGATCATATTTTTTTTTCTCTCTTAACCAGGAGTGCCTCAGAGATTCTGCTATGACTTTGGACTTCTCTGAGTCTGTGCAATTTTATAGTCTTGAGAAGCATGGGGAAGGTGGTAGACCACTGCAGTGTTTCATTAGATGAGACTAGCTGCCCCCTTCCCTTGATCCCAAGATCATAATGTGTAGTTATTGAGGCATTTAGTCAACTTGTGAGCACCTCCACCGGAGGGTGGGGCTCTGAGTTGACTGTATAACTAATAATGCACTTTCTCAATGGCTCTGCAGTCATCGGCATGTCTTCCCTCTTCCCACTCGGACTTAGGGACATTTCTGCCCTTAAAGTTTGAACTAACAAATCAGAGACTCCAAGGGGCATGTTCTATTTCCTGGGAATGATTGACACTTTGGTGCTGGGGTTTCGTGGGGGGAAGGGTGCTTTGTTTGGTTTGTGTGAGAGTGTATGTGAGGTGAGGTTTTAACTGTTTCCTTCTTTTCCTTTGTGAGCTGATGATGACTGAAGTAGGAACCGTGCGTCTTCAGGTAAAGAGGGGGATTTCTCGGTCCACTTTCTGTGACGTCAGGCTATCGGAGAATCCCTTTCAGCTGCTTCCCAGATGTACCTAAATTCAGTCAGATAGTGGATAAAGAAGCCTAAAGTCCTGAGATGGTATGCTCCGAGGACATACATCAGGACAGATAATTGGCTGAGAACACTGCTGCTTCAATGTGACACATTTTTATAGAACATTTCTACCAGAGGGTACTGACCTGATTTCTCCACAAGGACCACACTGCCTTTGTGTTTAATGCAATTTGTGTATCTTCTGATTATCTGCAAAGTTTCTCGTTTTTATAAAACTTTGAAATCACGCCAGTAAGCTCGATGTTGAATGTATGTAAGTAGCATTTGGTGACTGCTAAGAGGCTACAAAAATGCATTATTGGTTCAGTTCTTTTGTTGTGATTTGGTTGGGAAAGACTTTCTTATAATCTCTTCTGGGTCTCAGGCTTTGTTTGAAAAAGAAGGGAATGTATTGGGATTTTGAAAATCAGTGTTGTGTCTTCACCTGCTGTCCATCTCCAAACCGTGAGTTACACACACCCTTGTACATGTAGACATTCTATGTATTATTGTGAAAGAAAAATATACTGCCTTTATTGAAAGCAAGTGTTCTCTTAATTGACAAAGTTGTTTTATCTCTATTTATGGTAGAATTTGATAAATTAACCAGGAAAACGCCTCTCAATTTTTTCGCACGTAAACCACCACGGCTTTTGGAAGAGTCGTCTGTCTGTGTGTCTGACTGTCCAGGGGGCCTCATGTTAGACTATCCTTGATTGGATCTGATGGTCTACAAAATGGAAAACTAGAACCTCAGCGATTATTCACATCATTGCCAAAATTTGAGGAAAAACTAAAAGCTGAAACATGATTGATTGATTTTTACAATATGATATGATATGATATGATATGCAGCTATCACAGGCACATTTCAGTCCTGTTTCTACTCATTTCACTGATGTTGAGTAAACTGGAAAATTATAAAGCAGTGGAAACTGGAGAAGTCAACTCTTTATAACATACTAAACAGAAGAGGTTTCTAGTGCATGAAGGATGGTGTCTGTACAGCAACACGCGTGTCGGAGGTGTCGGTCGCTGTGCAGCAGCACGCGTGTGGAAGGTGTCCATCACTGTACGACAGCACGCATGTAAAAAGTGTCCATCACTGTACGGCAGCACGCGTGTGGAAAATGTCGGCCACTGTACAGCAACACGCGTGTCGGAGGTGTCGGTCGCTGTACGGCAGCACACGTATGGAAGGTGTCGGCCGCTGTACGGCAGCACGCGTGTGGGAGGTGTCAGTCGCTGTACGGCAGCAGCACCTGGTTATGGAAGAGGCTGTGGGCTCAAGTACACATCATCTTAGTGTTGGCATCTGAGTCAGCATTTCAGCTAAAGCACAAAAGATGTGAAATCATAGCATAAGCCGTAGTAAACACAAGAAAATGTCTTTTAATTAGAAATGTCATAACTTTAATGTTGGTTTTAAGATACTTTCTGAGTGTGTGGTGGCACACACCCTTAGTCCCAGCCCTCTGTGTTCAAGGTCACCCTGGTCTAGGGAGTGAGTTCCAGGACAGCCAGGGCTACACAGAGAAACCCTGTCTTACAAAACCAAAAGGAGAAAAGTCCATCCTACGAGACTTTCATTTATTGCTATGTATATTTTGCATATACATATATATGACCCTGTAACATTTGAATCCTGTTCTCTGAGCTGTGATTCAGTCTCGGTAAAAAAAAAAAAAAAAAAAAATCCCTCATTTACACTTTATAGCCATGGTCTTAGGTAATAGTTCAAATGAAATAAGTTAAACCGTCCAGTTTTCTAAGACTCTTTCTAACTGCTGTGTGTTTCCAGCATCTGATTTAAAATGGTTTTTGTTCAGTTATACAGCACCTGTTACACGTCAGCCAGAAGTGTCCATTCTCTATCCTTAACTTCCCATTGCTGCTTCTCGGCTTCCGTAAAGCTTCGTCCCACTAATAGAAAGCCGATTGGTGCCATCTGCGCCAGGCCAGATTAAAGAGTTGAGCACCTGAGGGTTTAGGAGTTCTTCAGTGTGACTTTACATTAATGTTACTAATAAGAAAACTAAAATGTACAGCAGAAAGGTAACTTAGAAGTAAGGCTTTAAAATATGAAAACTTGGGCTGGAAAGATGGCTCAGAGGTTAAGAGCACTGACTGCTCTTCCAGAGGTCCTGAGTTCAATTCCCAGCAACCACATGGTGGCTCACAACCATCTATAATGAGATCTGATGCCTTCTTCTGGCATGCAGGCAGACATGGAAGGAATGTTGTATACATAATAAATAAATCTTTAAAAAATAAAATAAAATAAAATATGAAAACTTATTAAAAAGCCAGGGAGTTAATAGCTGTCATCTAAAATCCTGTTCCTTTACTAACACCCTCCGGTTTCCAGCTTGCTATTCTGTGCCTGTCTAGTGCAGATCAGAATTGCTGTGTTAGGAGAAACCTAAGGGATGACCTGGCTGCTCTTTCTGCCATACACACACCTTCACCGTCAGGAAACTGAGGCACACAGAGGCTATGAAGTAAGGTCCATTGCTAAGAAGCAGAGCCATAATCAAACCTTGACCCTGGTCAGCGGCATAGCCACACCCATTGTCTCTTGTTACCCAAACTTGGTAAATGTATATGCGATACTTTTCCATTTCTGCAGTTTCTCGGTTTCTGGTCTAGCAGTTGGTGAACACATTAAGGAAAGTATTAATTCCAGAAAAGAATGTAAAATAACAGAGATGGGGATATAGTGCTCAAACGTAGACACCTGGGCAGTACATTATTCTTCTCTAATTTATGCCTTATGAATTCTCTGCCACACAACAGTTCTATGCTGCCATGTTAGTTGTATTTGTGGGGATTTGTTTGTTATAAAATAGACCCAACGAGATGACTTTGATCAGTGTTGTAACGATTTGAGAGTGAGTTTAAATCAGCCCGTTTTCAGTCACCAAGGACACACTGTGGAGAGCAAAGTAAAGATAAATTCGATCCCATTCAGTCCTAAGCTGGAGAGACGCTGTTCCTTACTGTGCTTAGAGCAGATAAAAGCAGTATTTGTTGTGTGGTTGGAACGGGTTTGCAGGGAGTGTGAAGCCTATGATCCCATGAGCAGTGGCCTCTGTCACTTAGGACAGACACTGTATGAACGCAGCACTGTGTAAACTCCGTGTCTGCAAGACGCCAGGATACTGAGGAGAACGCCTCCAGGTTGCTTTTGTTTGCACTGCTTCTGTGGGCACCCTAATGCGGTAGTGTGTGTTCCCCACCTTGTCTCATGTGGTTTCTCTCGTCCACTTTTGAGGGACTTCAGGTGTTGATAACTGACGGTCTCATCTAATTCACCGCATGTTCATCTATAAATAAAAATACTAGTTTTTGTTTTTATGGGTAGGGTAGCACACTGTAAAACACCAAGAAGGAAGGATCACTCCATTTCTCAACTTGGATTATATTATAAAGGGTTTTTTTTTAACCAAAAAGCTTAGTATTTCAATTATATATTGTTTTTCCGTTTAAAAGGAACAGTATGTTCTACTGGTGACTAGAAACGCCACGGGGCTCCGAGCGGATTTTCTGCACTGTGGTTAAATGATGCCGTTGGAGCGAGAGGCTTTTCTCTTTCGAGCCGAGTGACTACTGTTGTTCCGTCACCAAGTTGTACTTACTGTAATATTTCAATTTTCTTAAAGTGGTTTTCAAAAATAAGTGATTCGAAGACTACCAATTGACAGCTTAACCTCTTAAAAACAGAGTATTTGCCAGATTGTTTAAGCATGAAATACAATGTAAAATAATATTAATAAAATCCCGAATCATCAGATTGGTACAATTTTCCATGCTAATGCGGTGAGATAACCCTTAGTATGGTTTATGCAGTGTGAATCTAACGGGTAGCATCACCCTAGTGCTGACCTGCAGAGAACCCGTTGTTCATGGAGGGGCACAGCCCCGCCTCCCTGTCTAGCCCGGAGCACACACTGCAAAGTCTTGCTTTTTTCCCGGCAGTATTTTTGTAACATTAGACGTTTGTCCTATGAGAAGTGTATATAAGACCAGATACAGGATACAGTTTCTCAGAAATGTAGAATGACGTGAAGTAACGGGCAGCATAGTACAGAAATGAGAGTCCCTATGTGGGCTTTGTTTCTGAACATGAAGAAGATGGGTTCATGATGTTTACAGACTAAGGCATATTCCTATGTCTGATATCACATTACTACATTTAACGTGGTTTAACAAAAAAGTAGAATCAAGTGTATGGTCAGGTATAAATGAGTCTGTTTTTAAAATTGTGTACCTGGAGGTAGGCCTAATAGATCTTTGTGTTTACAGAGAGAACTGAGCCTAATTGAATGATCTGTCCCCATCTACCGAGTGGCTGTGTGGTTTGCTGTGTTCAGTGGTGATCCTATCAGGAGATGTTTTTATGTCTTCATCAGTTACAAAATTTACCAAAGAAAATGTCACCAAAATTATTTTCAAAACGTCTATTAAGTAACTTAGCCCCTTTAATGCAGTTGCTTTCTAACACCAAAGGGAGCAAGGAATACATAATTGGAACCAGAGACACAAATACAGTAATAGACAAACAAGATTCTGTGTTTATCCTTATAGCAGTGAGATGGCAGTGCTCCAAGAGAAGTACCAGTTAGAGCATAAGTTGTATTCCTTATGACATATTTTATTAAAATTAGGGATTTGGCTTGTCAGTTTTGGATATTAAGGGGGAAGCCCCTTGAACTGGCATGTTGTATGTTATGGATTGTTTAGGTAAATTATAGGGGAATTTCCTGAAAGGAGCTCCTCGGCGGGCAGAGGCATTTGTTTCTGGTGTGATGTTAGCTGAACTGGTACGGTTGGTTCACACTGATGTATGTACATGTTCACTCTTGCTGCTCTTTCCTTTGTATTAAAAACATGATTGGCATAAAGGAAGCTAAAGCATCTGCTATAAAACACGTAGGCCGAAAAGATCTGAAGGGTTTAATTTGTGTAATGATTTCTTAAATCAAGAAACACGGTGTTTTAAAACTGCTATTCAAACAATAGCAGTTTTATTTTTTAAATTCAATTCCTTTTCTTTTTTAAATACATTATAGTTAATAAATATTGGATGGGGCATGGTGGCACATGTCTTTCATCCCAGCACTTGAGAGGCAGAGGTTGACAGTTCTTTGTGAGTTCAAGGCCAGCCTGGTCTATGTAATGAATTCCAGAATAGCCTGGCCTATATAATGAGATCCTATCTGGAAAAACAAAAAACAAAAAAACCCAAGAATGTATTTTCAGAAGAGAAGATTGGCTTTCAAATAATGACTGATATGGTTTCGGTTTTTTAAATTACCTAAATGGAATGCAAAGATATGTTCCATGTGATATTAGCAATGTTTGAACTCTCTCCTGTGTTGTACATCGTATCTTTTTGGTTGTTCTAACATTAGGCAGGCTTTATTAAATTCAGTGTAAAATTGGCTGAAAGAAACTGTCTTAGCAGTGTGAGGGTTTTATTACCTTGGTTGTATGTAATGTGGTTTCTGTAACAGGCAAACGGAATATCCCGCTTTCATTATTTGTTTCCTAAGAGGATATATTAGATCAGCTTCTTCTTGTTGTTAACTAACGTCAATTTGTAGCTTGTATAAACTTCTCAAATATTGGTGGGATTCTGCTGGTCAAAATACTGGACAGACATACAAAAAGTATGATCTTTACTGACGAGTGTCCTTTCAATCTAGGACAAAAAGAAAGATTGTTTTTTTTTTTCCCCCAGAGCTGAAGAAAAAAATAAACACACATCTAAGATCATGTGTATTGGTGCATGTGAGCCATTATCCTGTCTGATCGAATGGATTCATGCTGTTGATTGTTGAAATGTGAAATGTGGTACCTGTTGAACTTGTAAATATCTGCCAGAGATGAAAAAATATATTAAGTTATTGTAAATAAAGATGTAAAAAATTCAGTATCAGTCTGCGGTGCAGAAACATAACATCTCAGATGTTAAATATCGTGTCTCTTGAGGGATGTGTCATGTCTCCCTTGATGTATCTAGCTACATTGAGAATGTAAATTTTCTTTTGTACAGTGTAAAAATACAGCTTTATTTGGCTTTTAAGTGGATTTCCCTGAGTTTGTTTTTATCTTACCTTAGTTTTATACTTCACCACAGCCCTTCTCGTTGTATTTTAAATGCCATTTTACTCATGTGTGTGTGAATTTGTTTTGTTTTATTTGAGACAGGGTCTCACTGTGTAGCCCTGGCTGGCCTATAACTCCATATGTAGACCCGGCTGACATGTAACTCAGACCTACCTACCTCTGCCTCCCATGTGCTGGCATTAAAAGCATACACCATCACACCTGCTAGGTATATCTGAGTTTTCAATATATATCTTATTAGAGTAAGGTAACACATTAACATTATACAACACCAGGAAATGTCACAGACAAAAGCTGGGGTGGCACACACCTACAACCAGACATACCAGGAGGTTAAGGCAGGAGAACCGCCGTCAGGTCAGCCTGGGCTACAGAATGAGAAAGTTCCTTTCAAAACAAGGTTAGGGCCAGCAGAGAAGCCTTATCTGGTAAAGATGTTTGCTTCCAAACCTGATGGCCCGAGTCTAACCACTGGGAAGTTTTACTGTAACCTCCACACCCATAGACATGATGAATAATTTTTCAATTGTAAAAGCAGAAGTGAAATTAGTTCATTAAATATATAGGATAACGATACATTTCTATATGCTAATTGTAAGGACACAAATTTAACACTAAAATAACCAAATGTAAGGAGATCAAAGCTTTAAGATTAAACAGATTATCCAGGCAGTGGTGGCACACACCTTTAATCCCAGCAGAGACAGGCAGATTGAGTTAGAAGCCATCCTGGTCTACAGAGAAAGTTCCAGGACAGCCTGGGCAGTTACACAGAGAAACCCTGTCTCAAAAAACAACCAAAGCTGGGCGGTGGTGGCTCAGTCTTTAGTCTGAGCACGGGAGGCAGAGGCAGGCGGATCTCTGTGAGTTTGAGGCTAGCCTGGTCTATGAGAGCTAGTTCCAGGACAGGCACCAAACCTACACAGAGAAACCCTGTCTCCAAAAAAAAAGGGGGGGGGGGCTGGAGAGATGGCTCAATGGTTAAGAGCTCTGGCTGATCTTCCAAAGTTCAATTCCCAGTAACCGCATGGTGGCTCACAACCATCTGTAATGAGGTCTGGTGCCCTCTTCTGGCCTGCAGGCATACATGCAGACAGACTATTGTATACATAATAAAAATAAATAAATATTAAAAAAAACAAATAAAATGTTAGGCAGAATAAACAGAGATACAAAAGAAATACAGAGACATAGGATAGTGTTGGGAGCTATAGATCCCTGGCCCCTTGACTTCCTTTGCCCACAGCTGCTCTGAGCATGAGACCCAGATGGCAGGCTGATTAGAGACCCACAGCTGAAAGATCCTGAGAGCTGGGCGTGGCTAAGAATTCCTATATAAGCTGCTTCTGCGGACAATAAGTGGGGCATTTGGCATTCTTGTGTCAGGGATGACCTGTGTCCATGTCTCTGCCTATGTGTTTTTAAGTCTCCAGCTTAGTTCCCGGCTCACGTCCCGTGTTGTAGTGGCACGGGCGCTACAGGACAGAACAGGACCATTCAGAGTGTTCCAGGATGGTAACCAGGAGGGCAAGTCAGTGAATACTGAATGTGCCTGTGTTTATTTCTCATGATCTTTACCCCAGTCCACAAAAGGGAAACAAAGCAAAAGACTTTTTTTATCATGATACAAGGAACCAACAAAATGATTATGATCTTAATACCCCAAATACCAAATAACCACACCCTATGTCAAGATATCTTTATTAGTAGTTACACCTTCTGTCAAACCTCTTTATCAGTAGCCTTCATAGGCTTAAACTCTCTGACCTTTAGTCAAGATGGAATGAATCCACTTCTGTGGGCTCCCACAAGAAACAGCAGTGTATTTATGCGAGAAATGACTGTGACAGATGTTTCTTTGCACAATGAAAAGTATCTTTGAGGTCTATAATTAGGAAATTGCCAAAGGGAATTTAAAATCTTAAGCTGTGGCTATGGTGATAGTGGTATAGTATGGTGTTTAGTGCTCTGTCAGAGTTGGATGAAGAGCTTACTAAAATTTTATTGATTAATATTAAGACTATGGACACAGCATAAGAGAGAATCTGATAACTTGCACTGTACACCTTAAAACACGCTCTTAGACCCTGAAACACCTTAGGCCCTCACATCTTAAGTTCTCATCTTTACATAAATAAACTTTAAACTACCTGTTCTTCCCCATCATTATGACCTCACCTTAACATTCAGGAGAAATCGGTTTTGTGAGTTTATCTTTTACCTGAGCCTGGTAACGAGGTCAATTGTGTCTAGACTTAGTATCGACTCTAGGAGATTGAGACCTGAGAAAACAGCTGGCAAAGTTACCAGTCGTCCAACTGCATCAGGGATCTTGAGAAGGATAAATTTTGCCTGAGTGAATGCTTAAAAAATGACAGAAACTCACTCGATTGGCTTCCTAGACAGCCACTCCCAGGGTCCTCCATAGTTGTTGAGGGCAGAGGCTTCAGGGCAACATCCATGGTTGGCAGCACAGAGCCTGCCAGGCTTCAGAAGCTCCTGTGTACTAGGTGTTTGTAGGAAGACCAGCCTGCTGTGGGACAATGGTTTTGTGCTTTGTAAAGATTTGTCACTTGTATTTTAATAAATCACTGATTGCCCAGTAGCCAGACAGCAAGTATAGGCGGGATGATGAGAACAGGAAAATTCTGGAAAGAGGAAAGGCTCAGTCTGCAGGCATCATCCAGACACAGAGGAAGCAAGATGTGACTGGCTCACCGATAAAGGTACCAAGCCACGTGGCTAACACAGACAAGAATTATGGATTAAGATGTAAGAATTAATGAATAAGAAGCCTGAACTAGTAGACCAGCCAGTTTATAACTAATGTAGACCTCTGTGTGTTTCTTTGGAACTGAACGGCTGCAGGACCAGGCGGGACAGAAACCTCTGGAACACCAGCCTACCTTGCCCTTGGCAATATGAGGCAGTCGATGCAATTATCCCATCATCCATGGTCTCAAGAGGTCTTTGCAGCAGTTGAGGTGAAGGAGTTTTTTGCTCGGTGCTTTCACTTATGAAGCGAGTTACGGGTAGAAGTTCTTCTGTTCCCATTCATCTTCTCTGGAGGAAATGGGGTTGCTGCCAGGAGCCGACTTGTCTCTCTGTTACAAAAAAAAACCCTTTTTAATTAAACATTTAAATGCCATATTTCCCAGATCTCTGAGCATCCAAGGGCTATCTGTTGGGTATGTGTGAGTTATGACTACAGTATAGGATCTGCCTGGAGAGCTGGATCCAAACTGAGCTGATTCTGAGTTAGCTTTTGTTAATCTGAAATAGATCTTTATAATTTATCATTATATAGAATAGATTTTAAAACAGAGTTAAATCACATATACAGTATGTTGTAACAGATCTAACCATATATCTTTAATCATCATTTAAAAGTACATACCAGCTGGGCAGTGGTGATGCACACCTTTAATCCCAGCACTCAGGAGGCAGAGGCAGGTGGATCTCTGTGAGTTCAACGTCAGCCTGGTCTACAAGAGCTAGTTCTGGGACAGGCTCCAAAGCTACAGAGAAACCCTGTCTCAAATAAGCAACACCCCCCCCCCCCCAAAAAAAAACCCAAGTATATATAAATTTAAAGTATCAGAGACTTGTTTTCTTAGTCTAGAAGGAGGTACAATGAACGGAGCTCATTAGGACTACTTAGAACATTTTTCTTTAACAGTAAGAGCATGGACACAAACATACAGTTGGATTTAAGTTACATACACCCATACCTACACACATACAGAGTTAAAGCTAGCTTATATTCACACACTTAGGGTTAAATCAAAAGTCACATGCACACACACACACATATATTAAACAGGAGCTGAGTGAAATATGAAGAAAAGGAAAACGCGTGTGTGTTGACATAGAGAAAGCTGACTTTACCGTCTCTGAAACGCACATGGTAGCAGAGAGAGGGAGGAGAATCCAAGAAGCCAGTGAACGAGAAAGCAGATTCCTTGCAGGTGGAAGGGAACAGATCTGCTGCAGGTGGAGCGGGCAGATGGGTGGGGTTCCTGCAAGCCAGTAGGGCAAACGAGAGCCAACAGGCAGCAGGTGGCAGGCAGGCAGGTGGGTGGGGTCCCTGCATGAAAGGAATGCCACAGTGGGGTCTTTCAAGGCTAATCCTCACGCAAACACGCCAAATGCAAAGAGTCAGTGTAATAGGTTAGAGACCCAGGAAAGACAGTGAACTGGCTCTGCCTAGTGGACATTTTTAAAAACAGCTAATGGCATAAAGGTGACTGGTGACAGGTGGTGCCATTACTGCCCTGGCGGGGGGGGAGGGAGGGATGGTGCAGCTGTTGCAGGTGCTGCTTGCTTAGGGGCAGAGCTGCACAGGTCTGCAGCTCCTCCCTGTCCCAGTTGCCACCAAGGGCTGAGTGACCCAAGGGTGGCTTCAAACGTGGACACTCGTAGTAAAGAGGCCAACTAGGTCACTGGACCTGCCCCTATTTTCCCTTAGTCAAGATGGCAGCATTTGCATGGTCACCCTTAGCTAAGATGGTGTTTAGGCCATCGGCCCTGCCCTTAGTCAAGATGGTGCCTTCCCTGTAATTGGTAGGGACTGAGAGATACTGGGAGAGCTTCCGTTTTGCTTTTTGTTGTTGTTGATGGTGATGATGTGTAAGATTTTCTTGGAGCCCACTCCAGCAAGAATCAGCAAGGGGTACCTGGGAGGGGGCGCAAGGTTATAGAAAATGGCAGATTAAGAAACATGAAAACAGAAACATAGGATAGACGGGGAGGACTGAAGAGAATACCAAACAGCCCTGAGTTTATTTTTCAGCCATCATATATACTAATTACAGGTAAAAGGCAGCAGACTCCCTCCCTGCACCGTCCTTGGGAGGAAGCTCAAGCCGGTGCCCTATCTCATTCAGCTAAGCAGCTTCTCGCCTCTAACGAGGAGTGCATCATGGTGTATGCCAGCTCGAATCTTAATAGAAAAATGTGTTCTTTCATCTGGGCAAAAATGCTCTTTCTATGGACTGACACAGACGTTCCTCACAGCCCTCAAGGTTACTGGGTAAAGCTGAGCAGGCAAACTTAAATGACTTCTTTAAGTCGGAAATGACTCCAGATGGAAATGTGGGCTCCCACAAGATTTATTTATTTATTATTTATTCTATGTATACAAGTGTTCTGTCTGCCCAGAAGAGGGCAGGCATCCCATCTCACTACAGATGGTTTTGAGCCGCTGCTGCTGTAGCTGCTGGAAACTGAACTCAGAACCTTTGGAAGAGCTGCCAGTGCTGTTAATGTCTTAGCCATCTCGCCAGCGCCTTTTGGTTTTGTTTGTTTTGGTGCCCTCCCCCACAGGGTTTCTCTGTGTAACTGCCCTAGCTGTCCCGGAATTCACTTTGTAGACCAGGCTGGCCTCAGTCAGACACACTGAGTTCCACCTGCCTCTGCCTCCTGAGTGTGGGGATTAACGGTGCCCAACACCCTGCCCCCACCAGCCTCCACTTTGCTATGTTAAAAAGGCGCCTGGGTCTTCTCTCCCAGGGTTTGAGACTCAGCGCTTTACCCACCTATTTTCACTATTCCCGGGAAAGTTCTGCTTGACTTATTCAGGATGTAGGTTTCAGTTTAAAGGGAACTTTAAAGTTTCCTTTAAGGAAAATGTTTGACTCCTTTGGGTCTTTTAATTAGAGACTCCTGTGCTCCAGTGTCAAGGACACTGGTGTAACTTAGAAACCCTTTTGTGTGACTTGGAAGAATGTAATGCCTGTGAGACAGAAGTTTGTCACCTGATAGCTCTGATAAAGAGCGAGAATCAGCTACCAACCCAACTACCAACCTAGCCAGGGACAGGCCTTGATATGATTAAACAACAACAACAACAAAAAAAACCCAGCTAACCCTAAGGTGCTTGAATATGATAGCGAACCAGCCACAAGTTGTGAGCCCTGATGTTCCAAAGCCCAAGTCCCATGAAATGATACAAAAAATTGGAACTCTGTGAACATTCTTTAGGACCACACTGCCATGTTCCCTAGACATCTCATCTCTAGCCTGTGTGCTGATACCCCGATCATCAAAAGGACTTGAGACTGCGTTGCTCTGGCCTCAGAGACAGTTGGACTTACAGCACTGACTCTGGGCCCTACAGACCTGTCTGTCATTGCCAGCCCTTGGCCCCTGCTCTCAAAGACCTCCTGAATCCTCACCAGTGTCCAGTGTCAGCTTCCCAGCCTGCAAGCCTCCAGGGCCTCCTTACTGGAGAACATTTCCCAGTGGAACCCGCATCAGCATCTCTGTCCAAACTGTTCCCAGCTTGGAGAGATGTCTGTTTAACTTTTATAGTAACGTGACGTCATAAGAAATGTCTGTGTGGATGGGTGGTGGTAGTACTTTCCTTTAATTCCAGCAAGCAAAGGTAGGTGGATCTTTGAGTTCAATGCCAGCCTGGTCTACTACTCACTACGGAGTGAGTTCTGGGATAGCCATGGCTACACTGTGAAACACTGTCTTGAAAAAAAATAAATAAATATATAAAGTTTGGGTGAATAAACCAAGCGAATTTGAAAGAGAAATCTTACGCAGACTTTTGTTCACAGAAGCCAAAATAAGCAGTTAGTTAATGATCTTCCAAAAGTTACACATGTCTGGGAAAAGGCAAAGGGTTTTTTAAGTGGTCAGCATTTCCTGGACTAGCTTACTTATTTTTTTTTTAAGATTTATTTATTTATTGTATATAGTGTTCAGTCCACAGGCATGCCTACAGGTCAGAAGAGGGCACTAGATTTCATTACAGATGGTTTTTAGCTACCACGTGGTTGCGAATTGAACTCAGGACCTTTAAGAAGAGCAGGCAGTGCTCTTAACCACTGGGCCATCTCTCCAGTCCTGCTGGACGAGTTTAAAAGGCTTAACCTGGGACTGACTTAATAAACTCAAGCTGGTGACAGCCATGGTAACTTTGTACAAAATGGAGTTACTTCAGTAGCTATGATCCTAATTTAGCTGCTATGATTTTAATTTCCCAGCACCTCTCTATAGTTAGTAAGCACTGCTTTATTGTGGCTCTTTCTTCATACTATCTGGTCAGTATCTTCCCATTCCGAGGACAGAGGGATCTTTATTTACTCAAGAGTTGTATCCTTACTGCTGGGTACTAAGTGTGCTTTGTTTGAAATGATGTAATCCTGTTAGTGAACAAATACTGTCATGTATCCCAGCCAGGTTTCTTTTATTTTCTCTGTATAAGCCCCCCTTCCACCTTGTCTCTTCATTTCTTTTTCTTTCTTGCTTGCTTTGTTTTAGTTTTTCAAGACAGTTTCTCTGTAGCTTGGGAGCCTGTCCTGGAACTAGCTCTTGTAGACCAGGCTGGCCTCGAACTCACAGAGATCCTCCTGCCTCTGCCTCCCGAGTGCTGGGATTAAAGGCGTGCGCCACCACCGTCCCGCTTCGTCCCTTCCTTTCACTCACTGTAGGATCCTATCTTCATATTCAGGCTCCGGCTCCTCCATCCTGCAACCTTTGAGATCCCTTTGCGTCGGGGCTGGAAAGACAGCTCAGCGGTTAAGAGCAATGGTTGTTCCAATTCCCAGCACTCACATGGACACTCACAACTGTCTGTAACTCCAGTTCCAGGAGATCTGCCATCCTCACATCAATGCGCAAAAAATAAAATTAAATAAATTGTTTTAAAGAGAATATCCTTTTGCATCAAATAAGTTAAAGTGTATGCTGTTTTTTAATCCATTTTCATTATCTTCTCCCCCCACGGTGGCTAGGCTAACAACAACATTAAGATTGCCACAAAATAATCACGCCAACGGGAACGGGACCCTAAGCCTCCAGACACCGACCTCACTCTCCAGTCCCTCCCCCGGAAACGGAAACGGAAGAGACGAGGAAAACCCGGAACCCAGTTTTTGGGGGGGCGAGGGGATCTGCTTTCCGGCGGAGCGCGGACCCCTGGCTCACGTCAACGGGCCCGCGGGGCCGTCGCTCTTGCCGCTTCGGCTCCTCATTGGCCGCCGGGGCGCCGCCAGGGGGCGGGGCCGGAGACTCGGCGTGCGGCGCGCTACTCGCGGCTCCGGGGTACGGCTCGCACCGCTCGGAGTTCCTCGGAGAAGTCGGTCCCGGTCGGCGGTCCTCGAGGCGGCGGGAGTCCTGCCTGGCGGGGCGTGGAGGCTTCACGGCCGTCCTCC